CGGGAGCCCCATGTAGAGAGCGTTACAATAGTCCAGGCGGGAGGTGACGAGGGCATGAGTGACCATGCGTAGGGAGTCCCGATTCAGAAAGGGGCGCAACTGGCGAATCAGGCGAACCTGATGAAAAATCCTCCCGGTCACGGCCATCAAGTGCTCTTCTAAAGACAGACGTGAATCCAGGAGGACGCCCAAGTTGCGAGCCCTCTCCGTGGGGGCCAATGATTTGCCCCCAATAGTCAGTGATGGCAGCGACTTTATCGGGACGTCGGAAACCACAGCCACTCGGTCTTGGATGGGTTGAGCCTGAGCCTGTTCCTCCCCATCCAGTATTTATGGCCAAATACTTGGCTGTAATAAATGCTCTCTTGTCCACAAATTCCAGAGCTGCTACTGTGGGGGGAATTTTCTTTTCATTTCTACAACTGGGGAAAAAAGTCATGTTGACATTCTAGGCTAGAATTAACAGATATATGTAATGAGCAGATATGTAATCGCTTTGTTTCTTAATGGAGCAAAAATAGTAATTAAGAAGCCGTCTTTTGCGAGTCGTTGCAATTGCAGATCAAAGCCATAATGGTGATAATACATTTTATTTACATAAAAACAAAAACAACAAAAAAACTCAACAACCCAACCCAGACATGCATAAAGCTCTCAGAATTTTCACAATAAATCCATGCTCAACTGGTAATTATTTCCTTGCTGGATATTGAAAGGAGTAGAGAAATCTATCTACTTCTTATCCTGTCATTTAAAAAAAAAAACAAAAAAAACTAAAAGTCTAGCAGTCTAGGAGGGGAAGGAAAACAGTTAAGAAGTTTGGCAGCCATTGCTTGGACACAAACCTTATCTCTGTCTCTTGATACATTAGATTTTGGATTTTCGTAACACAATTAACCAACAACAGGGCTAAAAATAAGAAATAAGAAATCACCACTTGGACTATAGTTAAGATTTGCTTACACAAGGACTGGCTTCATACCAGTAGTGAAATCCAATTTTTTTTTACTACCGGTTCTGTGGGCGTGGCTTGGTGGGTAATGGTGTGACTTGGTGGGCGTGGCAGGGGAAGGATACTGCAAAATCTCCATTCCCTCCCCAATCCTGGGGGAAAGATATTGCAAACTCTCAATTCCTATCCCACTCTGGGACCAGCCAGAGGTGGTATTTGCCAGTTCTCCGAACTGCTCAAAATTTCCGCTACCGGTTCTCCAGAACCTGTCAGAACCTGCTGGATTTCACCCCTGCTTCATACATGTTCTAAACGGATGGTGTGCTTTGGAATGGTTTCAAAAATAAACCACATGTGCACACAACCCAGAAACCCTGGTTTCTAAATCATCATGACTAAGCGCACGCAAAGCTACAACCAAATAAGTTGCACTGTGGCTTAACACAGTGGCTGAAGACAGTCAAGACACAGCCAGTTGTGAACCTTAACTACGTTGAGTTTTGCAATGCTTGTTATTATCACCCAAGATCTGATAAATCCACACAGTAAAGATCTGATGATGGTCACCCCTTGTGGGGGATAAAGATGGGAGGATGTCCCTTCATAGCATTTGTGCCTGACTTGAAACCAGGGGTGAAATCCAGCAGGTTTTGACAGGTTCTGGAGAACTGGTAGCGGAAATTTTGAGTAGTTCGGCGAACCGGCAAATACCACCTCTGGCCCCAGAGTGGGGTGGGAATGGGGATTTTGCAGTATCCTTCCCCTGCCACACCCACCAAGCCACGCCCACCAAGCCACACCACACCCACCAAGTCACGCCCACAGAACCGGTAGTAAAAAAATTTGGATTTCCCCACTGCTTGAAACTCTCTTGGTTGCTAACTGTTGGAAACCGGAAGACTTCTATAGTGAGAGTTCCAGCCTAGGTTTCATCTGCTCTGAAGTACACATAGCTCTCGACCTACGACCCAAATGTCTGTTGCTAAGCGAGACAGTTTTTAAGCAACCCATTTTACGACTTTTCTTTTGCCACAGTTCTTAAGCCAATCACTTAAGTCATTAAGTTAGTAACAGGGTTGTAAAGTGAATCCGGCTTCCCCGTGGACTTGGCTTGTTCAACAGTCGCAAAATGGGATCACACAACCCCGGGACACTGCAACCGTCATAAAGACATGCCAGTTTCCAAGCATCAGAGTAATTCTGATCACATGACTAGAATGGGGATGCTGCAATAATTGTAAGCGTGAACATTGATCATAAGTCACTCTTTTCAGTGCTGTTGTAACTTAGAAGGATCACTAAATGAAAGTTGTCAGCCGTTCAAGCAACAGGTTGACACCAGAGTGTGTAGTAAAAACATTGAAGATCAGAAAGGAAGGCCGACTACTCCCATCTTCTGAACAATACTGTAGCAACAACAAAAACGACTGACCTGAAATAACTCAGTCATGGATTTTTGCATAGTCAGTTCTGGCACTTAACTCCAATTTCCTGGCTGAAAAATGCTTAATATCTTTTGCACTCAGTTCTAAGTGCTGTATTTGGCCTGCTGATAAGCGGAGTAGACATTCTAGGCTTGAGGCCTATCCTCTTGCAAACAAAACCAAGCCTACAATCAAGATCGCTCAGATGGACTTGTCGGAACTGTGACAACAGCATAACATTTTTTTTTAAAAAAAAATGTGCAAACTTTGAATTTATTTAAAAGATTTGCATGGCCCTCTGTGGGGCTCACAACAATAAACCCACAGAACCATAAATAGAGTAGAATAGAGTAGAGTAGAGTAGAGTAGAGTAGAGTAGAGTAGAGTAAAGACTAGAGTAGACTAGAGTAGACTAGAGTAGACTAGACTAGACTAGACTAGAGTAGAATAAGAATAGAGTAGAGTAGAGTAAGAATAGAGTAGAGTAGAGTAGAGTAGAGTAGAGTAGAGTAGAGTAGAGTAAAGAATAGACTAGAGTAGACTAGACTAGACTAGACTAGAGTAGAATAAGAATAGAGTAGAGTAAAGTAGAGTAGAGTAAGAATAGAGTAGAGTAGAGTAGAATAAGAATAGAGTAAAGTAGAATAGAATAAGAATAGAGTAGAATTAGAATTAGAATTAGAATTAGAATTAGAATTAGAGTAGAGTAGAGTAGAGTAGAGTAGAATAGAATAGAGTAGAATAGAATAGAGTAGAGTAGAATAGAATAGAATAGAATAGAATAGAATAGAATAGAATAGAATAGAATAGAATAGAATAGAATAGAATAGAATAGAATAGAATAGAATAGAATAGAATAGAATAGGCTTTATTTGGCCAAGTGTGATGAGACACACAAGGAATTTGTCTCCGGTGCAGAAGCTCTTAATGTACATGCAAAGCAACAGAGTAATACTACTACTAATAAAAGCCGTACCCCCCCTCAAATATTGGACTATTGACCCCCCACTTCATCTGCACCCCTTGGTCCCCTTGCATCCTTATATGATGTTTCCTTTCTGCATAGAAAAAGGTTAAAGTATTCACAAATGCATCAACTTTCAAAGACGATAGGAGAACTCTACGCTAAGATTTGACATGAGCACTCACAGAAGGACTCTCTGCTTGGAATGACAGCTGAAAAGTAGCAGCCAAATAAGAGCTAAAAAGCTAGAATATTTTCAGCCGGGCAAGCCCATGATCTTCTCGTGATTCAATAGGAAAGGGAAAATGCATTCTGGGAAGTTAGCTGTTGGAACAGAAACAGACCGGAGCATTGCCTGTTTGTCTGGCAGAGAGACTTCCATCGCACAAAACATGCTGAGGATGTGATGCAACGTTGACAGGGAGGGTAACAGATGAGCTCAGGTAGGAAGGAAAGGATGACAACTTGCTTAAGGAACCAAAGATGCACATCAAAGCAAGAAGGCGTTTAAAAGAAACCTCTAGCTTTCCCCGTCAGATTTCCTGCCTTGAAAATTTTCCAGGTGAATTTCTACAGCTCAGCTTTCTGTTAAGACGTTCGGCGATGTTAGTTAAAGTTTATGATAGACAAGAGGGAGGGAAAAAAATAGCCTACTTCTGTAAATTTCTATTTATTGGAGGCAGAATAAATATTTGCACAGGGCCTGCCAGCTGAATATAAAACACCCCTCACTCGATACATTAAACATGGTGATCGTTTGCTGGATTGTCTGCAGAACTAAAAACCCGAGTTCTCTTTCAAAGCAGAGGTAATGCAACAGCAACGAAGGGGCACCCTTTCCATTATTGTGTGCACAAGATAAAAGTTTGAGAGTCCTTGCCTGAACACGTTTTCAAAACTAAGCTCTCTTTTAAAATCATCCTATAGGTTTGGAAGCAATCCCACACCCCAGCAAGAAAAGAGCAAACATTGGTAGCTTTGATAAACCTACGTGCAGCTGCACAGAAATATTGCAGAATTATTATTGCCATTCAAAGCAACGTTCTCAAACTGTAAGCTCCTCCGAGCATAAGCGCGGCTTATGTTTTGATCAGCAAAGAGTTTCAGCAAAAACTTCTGAAAAAGTTTGCAAAGCTCAGCTTGGCTGCTTTTTTTTTTCCTCCTGAAAAGGCGTGCCAAATAACATTTATATAACCATCCCCGGGGATTTATTTTGGAAAAGGGTAACATTAGCTCGAGCAACTCTTAGGATACTTTTGATGGGGAGCTCAACTGGCAAGAGCAATAGTAAACTCTCCAGAAACGTTAATCTTCAAAGGCCAGCATTTATCCGTGGATTGTAGGCAGTCAGTTGTTTTTACTGCTGATGTACACAGAAATAAAAATAAATGTATCTTCCCTTTATGCCCTGTTCTGGATTAGATTCTGCCTCCACTGCCACCCCTCCATAAATCTGATACAATGTCGGGAGCACACCAGAACTGCACAAGGCTGGCATTTCATTTCATGCACGTCCAACAGAAATTATACAGCAGCAAAGGCAGTGGGTTATCTACTACTACACACAACCGGGAGGGAGGTGGGGAAGAGTGACTCACTAGTTTTAAGGCAAGGCTGTTGCTGGGACTAACCCAACCCAACCAACAACATTGTCACTTAC